GGGCCCGATTTCTGACACAAAACGCGGCGGCCGCAGGTGAACGAAAATCTCGGGCCGCGCGGGCCGATATCCAAGTGCCTATTTATGAAACGAAAATTGTTGAGATTGTTTTTATAAAAGATGATAGCACAAATTAATTTTTTTTAGACCAACACTGCAAGATCTATATATATAGATCTATATCTAGTCAACAGTTACTGGTGAGGGAAACCCAAGAGTCTTGGAGAAAACCCCGGAAGACGACAAAAGTAGATGGCGGAATACGTCATCTCTATATTTGGGCCAATCACAGAGGTGTGCTAGGTAGCTTACAAGTGGATTGGTGGATAGCTAGAAAACGACAACTAAATGCCATTAGCCGGTATTTATAGCAACAGCCATCTTGTTCGACCTCACAAGGGTGATGCCTGCCGCGTCATCTGATCGTGATTAGAAAAATGGCCATCTCTATTCTCACCCGGGGTGAGAATAGTGCAGGCGAGTCTTTTGGCTAATCTCACCTGGTGCGCGTTCACCGTTATAGCCTAGATCTAGGCCAACAAATTTTGCGTTCACTCTAAACCACAGAATTCTACACTGTGATAACAGAAAAATTGTAGAATTCTGTGCTGTGAACAAACGTTCCATTACAACTGTACTTGTAGCCTACTAAAAGCGTACAATTTTGTCTGTGGGCAGTGGAGAGAGAGAGAAAGAGAGAGAACAAAACAAAATGGCGACCCGCGCAGTTCGGCTCGATTCGAAAAGTTAAATAGCCGTAGCACCTTTGTAGACAACCAAATTAATTTACTTTTGTGTTTTAACATCATTTTTTAACTTTGTTTTGGTCAATTTGATCGTCCACACCGATAGACAGTATTCAGAAAGAGACAGAGAGAGAGAGAGAGAAGAGGGGAGGAGTAGATCTTGCGAGAACTTCCGGGCGGGTGAGAATAGCCACTTTCGCTAGAAAAATAGTGATGATTTTGCGTGGCGCACGGTTTCCACCGGCAGTTTAAAAGCTCCTTCCCCTTTATTATAGTTCTACTCCATTTGCGGCTCAGCGTCCTATTGAGTCCAATCTCTTGTAAGTGCTTATTTTCTTGTGCTTACAAAACTTAAAAAGAAACGATGCGGATCGAGGCGGTCCATCATTTGCACTGCGTCGTTGAACTTGCTTTCGTATCCAAACTGACTAATCTAGATCTATAGGTCTACTCTTAATCTTCTTCTTCTCAGTTTACGTATTGTACAGCCAGGGTTGGGTTGATTTAAATCAGTTGATTTTTTAAATTTAAATCAACTTGATTTTTTTGATAAAAATCAGTGATTTAAATCACTTTTTTTAAAATGTATTTTTATTCAGTTTTTACATATTTCAACATTCAGAATTCCCTTCCTTGGTTTCATAAAACAGATATAAGGTTAAGTAGACTAATATAATTCATGTTTAAAAGTCTGCTTTCCCACCTTTCACTGTAAAATAATACAGTATTCAATTTACTTTTTTTTCCATAATTGAAATCAGAGCTGGGTTGATTTAAATCAGTTGATTTTTTAAATATTTCAATCAACTTGATTTTTAAAATAAAAATCAGTGATTTAAATCACTTTTTAACAAATGTATTCAGTTTTTACATATTTGAACATTCAGAATTCCTTTCCTTGGTTTTATTAAACATATAAGGTTTAGTAGACTAATATAATCATGCTTAAAAGTCTGCTTCCCCCCCCTGTCATTGTAGAATAATAGTGTATTCAATT